CGATAACAATAATAGAAGAATGATGGTAAAGCATGGTAATGATGAAGTCAGTAAGAGATCATTAAATGATGAAGTGTTCCCAGTGCTTGAAGAGAATGCAAACTCTGTCCAGTATATGACCAGTCATACAATCCTAGCAACTAAAAACAAATATTTTGACTACCTAAATCAGAAGATGATAGAAATGTTCCCTGGACAGAGCAAGATTTACAACAGTTTCAAAGAAGCAGTAGATGACACCAACAACTATTACCAAGAGGAATTTGTAAACATTTTGCTGTCAAACAGATTGCCTTCGCACAAGTTAAAATCGAAAGTCAACTACCCGACAATACTGAAAAATTTGAATGTCTCGGACAGTTTGTATAATAGAACTAGAATGGTGTGCAGAAATTTTGGAGCCAACGTAATCCATGCGATAACACTTTAGGAAGCAAATATTCTTACTTAGAGTATGTCTCTCGCATATATAGAATGAAACATACCCATTTCATTTCAAGAAAAAGTAATTTTCAGTTCGTCTATGCTTTGCAATGACAATAAACAAAGCTCAGGAGCAAACTATATCGAATATGGATGTCTATTTACCATTGGATGTTTTCTCACACAAATAACTCTATGTGGCACTGTCAAGTAGATATCGATGTCCACAACAAGGGTCCTTGTAAAGTCGAACAAGAGAAAAAAGAAGGATGCGGCATACATGAAGAACGTCGTTTAGAAGGAGGTCCTGCTACTAATATGTAACAAAATACGTTTAAAATTTTCATCAACAATGTTAAAGGATGCTAATGATCAAAATACTAAAATAGTAATTTGAACTTTATAGTGAAACAATTTTTAAAAAGGCTTAACCACTTATTAATACAGTAGTTGTTCATCAATAGGGAGAAGGAAATTGACCGAGATAAAGTTAACAATTGTAACTAAAATTTATAATAAATATTTCATATCATTATTTTTAACATTAATGAATATCTATCTCTTTTTTCTCAATATCTTATCATGCAATTAATAAACTTTTGAAATAAATTTAGAAAAATAAAATTATATAATGAGTAAAAATAACGAGTATCCACGTGGAACGCACTTTCTAAAAAACTAGTATATATATATTGCTACTTGTCTCATTAACCATAAAATATAGAAATAATACTCAATTTTACCATAGACTTATTCTACAGTTTAACAAAACTGAACTTTTAGATTTATTATAATAGAAAAATTTCAACCAAAAGATCAATTAGATTTATTTTTTATTAAATAGAACAAAGATGACTAAGTTATTGAATGAAAGTATATAGGTAATTATATTTAAATTTTAAAAAGAAATCAAATTACTGACTTTTATATTATTTATTATTTTTCAATAGCTTTAATCAATCAAAAAATAAATTAAATTGGTCTTTTAATGAAAAAAAAAAATCCATGAAAATCAATCTAAAAGTTAAATTTTGGATAAGGTTCTACATCGTGAATAAAGTCATGAAAGAAAAATTAAGCGTTATTTCTCAAAGTGCAGAGAAAGGATCCGAGTGGAAGTAAGTGTTGTCATCCATTACTATACCACAACTACATCTTTTAAATCCAACGTCAGCTACCAACAAGGACAGAGAAATTATTGCCAGTATTCAAATTTTATTTTAAGTTCAACGATCGAATAGGAATTTATTATTTTGCTGCATAAAAACGAGGATATAGTATTTTTTTTTCCATTTTTTTTCTTTAACATCCGAGCTAAAATCCCAAACTAATATCAAACTGTTCGTGAACCATTCATTCATTTAATGACATCAACACATAGTTTTAGCTGAAAAATATAGTTTGTACTTTAATATATTATCTAATCAAATTTTATTTTACTGTTGTGATATATGATTTTCAATTCTTTTTTTTTTTGGCTGGTTATGATTTTCAATTCTTGCACTATATAACAATTTATGATTTCATTATTTACTAGAATTAGTATTCTACAAATAGTTTCATTTTACTGTTATAATAATAAACGATTTATATCTTTTTACTACAAGTCTGTAAAAAAATTGTCATAATTTTAAATGCAAATTATTAATATAATAATTAATAATTAATGGTAAAATTAATATATTCATTATATTATAAAATGTAATATAATTAATATAAATAAATTTATTCACAAGCACGATAATGTGCCACCTCATTAGCCTTAACGAGTTGAGCTTCCTCAAGTTTAAGCTTGACTTGTTTAATACTTAGTATTCTTAGATGATGCACTTCAACCAAATCAAGCCTTAGAACTGTTAATGAATGGCCTACAGCTTTAAACTAAAAAACAACTTTTACATAAATAAGAAGCGCCACAAATATATATTTCTACCAGCCACTTCTTTTTTTTTTTTTTTTTTTTTTTTTTTTTTTTTACCCAGCCACTTCTTTTTTTTTTTTTTTTTTTTTTTTTTTTTTTTTTAATATTTTTTTTTTTTTTTTTTTTTTTTTTTTTTTTTTTAATATATGTGCATGGTGTATGTTTCCTTAAGAATTTATTTTTTAAAATAGAAAATAAAAAAATAGTTTGGTTAGTGTTTAAATAAAAAAAGCTGAGAGCTTGAACTCAATTTTTTAAATTAGAATAGAATTCAAGTACGTATTTAATAACCAAAGTTAAGCTGAATAGATTTCATTTACAATATTTATTATTTAGTAGTGGACACCTCCTTACCTTTCATATTTTATAAACTTGTGTATTCTTTGTCATGTTTCCATTTATGACAAAATGGAAGCAAAACAAGCAACTCATGCTATAAAGAAGGCAAAATAAAAAGTTTTCTGCAATTGTTGATCTTATTCGAGTTGATTAATTTTTTCTTCTTTTGGATAAATATATTTATCAGAATTCCGAGAGAGTTGATACTGGTGAAAAATGCTGATGAAATTGCGTAAATTATTGCATGAGTTGAAGCCAATCTTATTAATGGTGGTGGCTCAGCTCTCCTTTTCTGGTGTTAATGTCTTCTACAAATTGGCTTCCTATGATGGTATGAACTTGAGAGTTCTTATTGCTTACAGATTCATTTTTGCTTCTGCTTTCTTGATTCCTCTTGCTCTAATCTTTGAAAGGTTAGTATCCTTATTATTATTACATAATTGCTTTTCTTTTTTTTTTTTTAAATCTTTTTTGCATTTTGCAATATAAAATTGAGGATCGATGATGTTGTAATTAATAATTTCTGAATTTTATTTTGCAGGAAGATAAGGCCTAAACTTACTAAAACTATACTCTTCCAAGCATTTCTTTGTGGATTCATAGGGTAAGTGCATATAAACTTAATTAATTTTATTTTTATGTACTAAATTGTTTATGAGTTATGATATTAATTAGCATCAGAATTTGCAGAGGATCATTAACTCAAACTCTGTACGTGGAAGGTTTGGTGTTGACATCTGCAACATTTGCTTCTGCTATGACTAATCTTACGCCAGCCGTCACTTTTGTCTTAGCCATTCTTTTTGGGTACATCTAGTTTGTATTCGATATATATTTATAAATATAAGTTTAATTATTTATTTCTTGATTGCGAAAATGTTGTGACTCTTAACTAATTAGGTTGGAGAAAATGGGACTAAGAACCCTAGCAGGGAAAGCAAAGGTGATGGGTACATTACTAGGAATAGGAGGAGCAATGCTGCTAATATTTTTCAAAGGGGCAGAAATTGACATATGGTCAACCCATGTCAATCTGATGAAGCTTGTAAAGCCACATGGAGGACACGTGGCAGCATCAGATAGCACTAGAGTATTGGGTAGTTTATTGTCTATATGCAACTGCATCTCATTTTCCGTGTGGTTAATAATTCAGGCGAAAATGAGTGCAAATTTTCCATGCCCTTATTCAAGCGCAGCATTGATGGCTTCAGTGGCAGCAATCCTACAAGTTGTGTTTACCCTTTGTATCGATAGAGATTTGAGTCAATGGAAATTGGGCTGGAATATAAGGCTCTTCACTGCAGCCTATGCGGTAAATATGTACACTTATTGACTCGGATATTGCAATGGATATGTTAACTATTTTCCGGCAATCTAATTATTAATAAATTTTTTTTTTTTTTTTTGCTATATAAAACAAACACATTTAATCTCTGACATAAATTCTAATTTATTCATTAGGAAAAAGAAAGAAGAGAATAAGAAATTTTACATAGAAGAGTAGTATTAAATGTTTTTACATAGAATAAGAAAATACCTAACATAAATAATTGTTTGTGTTGATGATGGCAGGGAATAGTAGTACAGGGTGTGACGATAACTCTGATCACATGGTGCGTAAGCATAAAAGGTCCATTGTATGCATCCATTTTCAACCCTCTGCAGCTTGTGTTTTCTGCCTTAGAGGGATCTCTGCTAATTGATGAGCCACTACATGTTGGAAGGTGTATAATTTATACATTTATTTCCTATTTAATAATAATATATTGGAATAATAAACCACTAATTATTCTTAGGAAGGAGATTATTTATAACTTAATCATGTTTTTTCTTTATAAAAATTGCAGCATATTAGGAGCAACTTTGATTGTGTGCGGATTATATACAGTGTTGTGGGGCAAAGACACAGAGGCAAAGAAAATATCTCAACTCATTCCACTGAAAATCTCAGAAGAAATAGAAATCATGTCAACTACAAATAGCACTAATAGCAACTGCCAAAATTGTGAAAATTGCAATAGAGGCAAGGTAGATAAAAATTTATCAGAAAATATACATGAGAAGGAAGAAGAAAATACAAAAGAAGAGGCCTAAATGTAATAAATTAGCATATGTTTCACTCTTCAATTTGTAATTTGTAATTTTTTTTCTGTAACTTGTATGTTCTATTTTTCTTCTAATAAATCATATTGGGAAATATGCCAAATTACAAAAACTTATGTCAATTACATTTTGAAAAGTTGCCAATATTTTTTTTTGTGCTAAACCAATTTAGATCAATTGCCTGGTAGGTTTTCTTTAAGGGCATAATTTTAACAAAATGGAGTGGTTTCAAAAGTATCCATGGCATCTAAAGATCGTTCATCAATTTTAATATCTCATAATACTAATATTTGGGAAGTGTTTTACCTTTCAGGAGAGCATTTTTGAACAATTATAAGTTGATACTACAAGACTTTATTACAATTAATAATTATTTTATTTGTTCACTACAAAGACTTATTACAATTAATAATTACTTATTTGTTCAGTCTAGAAAATTTAGAGGACCATTTGGAAACAAATGAATTAATGACTATAGAATTTATGTAAATGAATTCTAAAGTATAATCATTTGTAACATGAATTGTTTGTGTATTTGTAATGCCTTTACTCAATTTAAAATAAGGAATTCAATTGATTCCACAACAAAATCTCATGTAGACATGAATTATCTTAAATGGAAAATTTTATTGTCTTATTTCTTTATAATACCCTTGATATAATAATTACAAAAAAAAGTAACAAACCACCCAATTATATTTACTATGAAATAAATAACCTTTCATTTTTATTGAAATTATAAATAATAAATTTCAATAAATTAAGTACCATAATATTCCATGCTAATTAATTAATAATATAAGCGCAATAACATTCATCATAATAATTATTTTTAATTGATGTAAAATATTTTATTCATTTAAGTAATTAATTTGGAAACTAAAAAAATATTAAGAATGTTATTTTTGTTTTTCATTGCATTTAAAAACAATTGTTGATACTCAGTTTTTATACTTTCATAGTAATAAAAACTGACGTTATTACTAGACGTCAAAAGAAAAAACGTGATTACTAGTTTGAAATTTTTGAAAAAAAAAAAAGGAAAAAAAATGAAAATATAAAATAACGTCATTATTGGATTTAAAGAAATAACGTTGTTATAATTTGGAATTTTTCAAAGAAAATGAACAAAAAAGAAAAAAAAAAGTAAAAATAGTTGAGTTTATAGTGGAAGGGTAATTTTGTCAATAAATATTTCAATGCAGTAAATATTCAAATGATCAAGTTCTGTAGAAAATGTCATTTATACAATTCCAATCAATTTTAAGATAAGAAAATCGGGGAGTTAGCGACAATACTCAAATTCCCATAAATTTCAAGTTGGGCAGAATTTAAGATATCTTGTATATTTTTTTTATTCCAAAAACACAGGCAATTAGATTTTCCAAATGAATTCTAACAGAAATTTCCGTGAAAATTCAATTGTAATTTAGGTAGCAGAGTCAATATATTTTTTGAATTTACTTTTTAAAGACGAGATTTTTCATAATGGGATTAAATAGGTTTCCGACCCCATAGATTCTAGTAAGATTAAGAAAATTGGCGCATTGCGCCTCCTAACATTGGTATAAAAATATGTAATCATGTCGAGATTTTCCACAAGCCTAATATCGAAGTTAGGATTAACATTAAGTCGATACCTACCTTTTAATTGCAAAAATTGAGACTATAATTTGGGTGCATGAACCGCCCACAAAAGTAGTTATTTCGCGGCAAAATAAACACCCTGACAAAAATAAAACTAATGGGGGAGCCGGAATGTAATACAAGCCCGGGAAAAACAACTCAGGATCGAGAACCAATATGAAGAGCAAAGAACCTAGAATAACAAATCACATAAGAGCTAAACCTGTTATAGCGCATAAGATTCGCTACGCGTGTTCTTTTGTTGCAGGATATATTCAAGCCTGGTAGCATGTCTGGCAAAGTCTTTCTATTGTGTGACCATTAAATTTGATTTCTTTGAAATCCTATTTGGTTTCTGAGTGGAACAGAAAAACACCAATACCCGTCTTGTTTCTTGATAGAACACTAGACCGTGGGGATTGTTTTTCTGGGAATACTTTGCTATAAATCTAGTGGTGTGTAATCAAAAAACAATAAATATCTCCTTATGCCGTGTGCGGCGAGGGCAAACGTGATAAGTAAGTTGGATCGTTGTCTATTATCCATGGGGCGCTGTTCTAGTGTGTATTCCAAAAACAATAATATCATCTGTGGACTCCGGCGGCGGTGGGAGGGAAAAATCGATAATCGTGTGTTGGTTGAAGACAGCGGCTGTTAATATTTTTAAAATAAAAGGATAGATTATCCCTTTTTAAATTAAAGATTACATTATAAAACACTTTTAATTAACAAAAATGTTATGTCTTTTAATTATTGTAGAAAATACAGTAGACGGGCCACGTACGGGTTCCAATAATTAATGCAGCGGCAAGGAACCGGCATGGAAAAAATTGAATAAGGCTAACAACATTAATAAATAAGAACACCATAATTATATCGGACCAATATATTCTTTATTATAATTTTAATCCATAAATTAATTCCACTAAAAATTCATGAATTTAAAAACTCCCTTATTAATTTAACTTTCACAAACCATAATAATTTATGTTCCCCGTGTAAAAGATTTACAGATGCTTGTCAAATAAAAATAAATTAATGATAATTTATTTAAAAATAATAATTTTAATTTTTTAGGATTGTCGCCTTAATTTAATTTCCAATGTGTTGAAAATTAAAATCAACCTGCAGGGTTTAACCTCTTTAAAGTAAATCAATCATTCTCCTAAATCGAAATATGAATTTTACATCATTAAATTAATAATTCACAAATACAAATGGCCTTACTCAATTTCACTGAGAAATTATTATCCAATAAATGGAAATTAAAGCAACAAAAGCAATATAATATTTGCTCCAACATTAATTTTATTCAAAGTAAGAAATAAATCTTATTTCTAAATGTCTAGAGAATATATTTGTAATAGTCAGTATAAAACAATCAATCATATACTTAGACCCAGTCTAGATTACAAACAAATGTAATTAACACCAATTATACTAAAATAATACTGGAAAAAATTTATTCAATTTAATGCAAATCCTCCTAATTAAAACACAAAGAAATAAATCTTTTTGCAAAGAAATAACACAAAAAAAAAATATACCCTATTAACATTGCATGGTTAATAGTTAATCTTTACAAATCTCCCCACTTGAGAACCCTCATAACCCATGCATCTATTATTTTTAACTCTCGATTCTTTCTACATGACCTATCGAAAAAGTCTTTTGCTGGTAAGGGCTTTCTTTGTAAAAGGATCAGCCATGTTGTTTTTTCCCCATGCAGAATCATGTGCGTGGGCCCCAACCCCCTAACATGAACCCAACATACCCCCTTTTGAAATCTAATTGTCCTCGTATCAAAAAATTTGATACTTTTCGCCCCTTAAAATGTTGTGTTTGCCCCTAAAAATGACTCCATGGGGCTCTTTCCGAGTTTCGCAACCCACCCACTATTATCAACAGTAATGTAAATAGGGAAGATTGAGACTGATGGGAGCACCACACCTAGGATCCATAAGGAAAGTTCCTAAGAGGCCAAACCTGATGACTGTCTTTGGCTACGACTCAAGAGGCTGCCACGATACTCAGCTTCCCATGGTAAAGAATCAAAAACATAGAGTTTACTTAATAACTGCCTCCTTTAATGACATTCCCACTCCCAGGGACAACCACCATTTCCCAGGTAAGAATTTCCGCAAGATTTCCCCCCTTATCAAACTGGAACAAGTTTGAAATCCTGTGTACTCCAAAAGGGTTTATAGACGAATCCTCTCCTGACTGGTAGAGCACAACGATATGATCTCTAGTCCTTTTTTTAAAAGCTTGAAGCCTATATGTTTAATCATGGGCAGTCCCACGTGCTGCTCGCCTAGCGGTAGACTGAAATCTCAATAACCATGCCAACAAATAAAAGCAGATATCAAGGTCTAGTGTAAAACATTGGGCATAACATGAGACTGTCCTACTGGCCGAAGCATAGAGGAACTCACTTCAATGCTCCTCTATCTCTTCACGAGTCCTCGAGGACACTAATCCTTAGATAGAGTGGATTACCCATGTTTGAAAGGCGATAAAAACCCTCTTGGAATGCCTTGCCATGTTGAATACAGAGCCAAAGAATGGGGAAAAAATCAGATAATTAAGTATGGCTGAGATAAGTAAAATCCATATCTCTTCTTGCGATTCGGGTATAAGCTTGAATCCCAAGAATCATGAGCAGCCTTCTCGCCAATCCTTCTTATCAAAAGAGCCGGCTTAGACAGTGCGGTAGAACGGTAAAAGCCCTATGAATGGGTACGATAATGAACACCCCGTCAAGGAGTTTTGATCAGTATCGTTGAATTCTGTTATCGAATAAAATTTGAAGGAATGAAACTTGCTAAGAAGTTTAATTGATTGAATTAGTGTTTTAAAATAATGAGTCCGCTCAAAAAATAAACAAAGCAATACCTATTTATTAGGTTTGGGGCTTGAAACATAAAACCCTAAAAATAAAACACAAAAAAGTATACTAAACAGCTTGAGATAGAAACCGAGGGAACTCCAGGGAGCGCAACGGGCGTGCTTTCTTAGTCCCTCGAGCGTGTTTTTATGCTTTAAGCTCCAGGAGAAGAGGACACGGGAATGCTTGTCAAGGAACACAGGCATGTCCCTTTTTCGCTTGAAGGCTTGGCGATCGAGTCCAATCTTCCTTGAAGTATATTATGGAGATGCGCAAAGTGCTCCATGATCAAATCAACCAAATCCTTTGACAGAAGACAACATTACCTACAGCAATTTTTCCCAATAAGCAAACTACAATCCACATATAAATACTAGAAATAGGAAACCCTTTTTACTAAGGCGTTCGCATTTTCTTATACAACACAAGAAACGCATCATGCACTAAAATTCCAAAAACCAAAGGTTTTTGGGGAATCGACTAGATCCAAGAACCCAAGTTAGTGCAAGGAACCTAAGGATTTTAATCTTAATACCATAAATATGACATAATTACAAATTTTACCCAAAGTAAAAGTTGTTTTCTTGGGGACATTAGAG